GATGCACTGTCTCATTTGAGCCTCATGATAATTCCATGATGTACTACTATAATACTACTAGAGGCCCTGTGCACAGGTGGGGTCCCTCGGCCTCACCTGCGGGGATCGGGCCAAAACCAGCTCTCCAACATCCCCCAAGGGATCCTGGATTGTGAGAGGGCAGATCTTGGGTGACAAACCCCAATTGGGCTCCCTCTTCTCTGGTTCCAGGTGGGTCACCCAAGAATCATAGCTGCCAAGTCATTGCAATTTGGCAGCTCCTACATTGAGTGTCTGCCCCCTGGTGGTCAGTGTGCATGATAGCTACCGGTTGGATGGTTGGACAGTTGCTTAAGCTTTTATATATATAGATTGTAGTCCTCAATTCAAAGAATTTTCCTAAAGTTACATAATTAGTAGGTGTGGAAGACAGGATGCAAATCCTGAGTTCAACTTCTCAGTAGTACCCAAAAACAAACAATAACAAAGATAAACTCCCTAAATTATACTTGTTTATTAAATAAAAATCATAACTAATAGATCAAGTATTTTTTTTGAGTCCTAAAAGTAAGATATTGCTAAGTGTTTAATAAAGGATGCTGCTTTGGAAATATGATGCTCTCCTCAAATTCTTCAAAATCTATTAGTTCGATCCATATGATGAATTTTTTTCACAAAATAGTTTATTATAAAGTTATTTAAATCCTTTATTATAAACCCACTGTCTAAAAAACTTAAAGCATCTATGATAATGTATAGTGCTCAAGCTCCCTCTTGTGGAGATAATTATTAGGTCATTTAGTAGAAATATTTACTTTTAGACTTGTCTATCATCTTGTAATGGTGGAAAATATAAGGAATACAAATGATCTGAAGCTGGAAAATGCCTTATAATCCTTTGAAAGGATCTCAACGCTTTATAAATACGAAAACAAAAGACCACAGAAGTTAAGTGACTAGCCCAAGATCATGTAACTAACCACTAGTTATATAACCCCTGGTTCAATGTTCTTTCCACAATTCTACAATGCCTCCCTTCACTAATCAATACAAACAAATGTGATCTAAAAATAAAAAACTAAATTTTTAAAAGTCTGTAACAATTTATTGAAATATATGTGAATACTAAAGTAAATAAATGTGGTTTTTGGTAATGTAATATGGAAGATTAAAATAAAAGGCACTGTTTATGAGTCAAGACAGAACATTTCATTAAAAAAAAATTGTCACCACTTTTATCACCTGAATCAGCTAATACATTATACAACTAACCCCCCCCCGCCCCCCCAAAAAAAACAAGATGAAAGTGAACTCAGTTAGCTACTTAATCCTCAAAAACTCTTTATGAATTTTTAAAGGTACTTAAAATACTGGAGATATATATAAATTGAAGAAATAATATTTCTGCCTCAAATAGCAAAATAATAATAGTTTGCTTTGAATGCCAGTTATTAACCTTAAGGGCTCTATTCATTATAAAATATAATTATGGGGCATATTAAATAAAATATCACTTTTTATGGTTCCTACAATTATGTAAGCTAAAGTGCTAAGAATTATCTGATTCCAATTTTTGCATTTTAAAGAATTTTACTCAAATGACCCAAATCGTCTAATGTCTTCCAAAATGAAAAGCTGAAAGTGTCAAGTAACTAAAATCCTCTACTGTAGCTGCTAAAATATCTAATCTTCATTCTATAGCTAAAATACTATCTAATGTGAACTAAAGATATTATAAAAAGCATATAAGCATACTCAGCCAAGGATAAGGACTCCCTGCTATTATTATCTTCTTCCTCAAAACACTCAACAGCACTCAGACATTCTTCGATATTTGTTTGTAGAAGATTTTCAATTTCATCTTTTTCTGTACCAAAATGTATCTCTTCCCAGTCAGAACTACAAAACTAATATATCAAAAGATGGCATTAAATGATGGGTTCGTGGAATTATTTATATTAATAAAGACATTCACTAATGACTATATTTCTAAACTTATATTACCTGATAAAATCCACATACAGCTTGCACCGCAAAGAACCACTTCTTGGAGTTAAGTATACCGCCAACTGAACAGGCTTGAAAAAAAAAAAAATCACACTTATTAGAAGACATACCACAATTAAGCAAATGTTATAGTATATATACTTAGAGAATTATATAATTTTGATACATATAGCTAATCTAAGTTATATATGTATAATGTGCATTATACGCACACATACATATATATTCACTCACCATGAATACTTTATATATATATAATTTTTTTTTTAATTGATTTCAGAGAAGAAGGTTGGGGGGAGAGACAGAAACATCAAAGATGAGAAGGAATCATTGATTGGTTATTGGGAATCCATCCAGGAACCCCGGTGGTAAATTGAACTGTGACCTCCCAGTTCATAGGTCGACACTCAATCACTGATCCACATCAGATGGGCCACCATAAACACTTAAATTTTCTTTTTTTAATTTATTTTTTATTGATTTCAGAGAGGAAGGGAAAAAAGGAAGGGGTGGAGGTAAGGGAGAAAGGGAGAGGAGAGAGAGAAAGAGAGAGAGAGAGACATATAAGCTGAGTATGCTTATATGCTTTTTTTTTTAATATATTTTATTGATTTGCTTATATGCTTTTTATAATATCTTTAGTTCACATTAGATAGTATTTTAGCGATAGAATCAAGATTAATGATGATAGAGAATCACCGACTGGCTGCCTCCTGCGCACCCTCAACTGGCCAACTGGGGGTGGAGCCTGCAACCCGGGCATCCACCCTTGTCTGGAATCAAACCCAGGACCCCTCAATCCACAAACCGATGCTCTATCCACTAAGCCAGTGGTCGGCAAACTGTGACTCGCGAGCCACATGCAGCTCTTTGGACCCTTGAATTTTTAGCAAAGGCCAGCTTAAGAGTACCCTAATTAAGTTAATAAAAATGTACCTACCTATATAGTTTAAGTTTAAAAAATTTGGCTCTCAAAAGAAATTTCAATCGTTGTACTGTTGATATTTGCCTCTATTGACTAATGAGTCTGCCAACCACTGCACTAAGCCAAACTGGCCAGGGCCAAAATCTGTATTATTAATCATCATTTGAAACAATAAAATCTACCATAAAGATGTTGAAAAAACCTCACTGTATTCCTATTATTCACACACAACTGTGCAAGTCATTTTAGTGAAAACAATTCTCTCTTCAAAGACCATGAAGGTTTGGCTTGAAAGGAGGTAGTTAAAGAGTAACTATAACCTAAGACAAGGAGGATGCTTTCCTTGGAGCTGGAACATTACAAGTGAATATGAAATTAAGGATCTCCCCTGGGTGAGTTTAAGAAAAGCATGAACTTAGAGCTCTGCATAGAAATTAGATTCAATGGAGAGAAAAGCAGAAATGTAGTAACTGAGGCTTAATTCATGGAAGCTAGAAAAGATGCTAAGTGCCTATTACCAACTCTATTCAGTTTGCACATAGATGGCAAAAGATGTAATTGTGTTGCCTTCTGTCTTCCTGTGATAAATCCACTTGATATTTTACAAAATAAATACTAGGAAGAGGGAATTGACAAAAAGAAAAAAAAAGACAAAAGCACAGCAAAAAGAAAAGTGATGGAGCTGAGGTGATATTCAAGTCTAATGTACTAGTAAATGAATTCTAAAAATAGCTACTTTAATTAAAAAAAGAAAACACGTTTATTTCTAGTACCAGTCAGTGCAGTGCCAGAGAAAGAGGGATTCATGCTGTACTTACCAGGAAAAGTACTATCTTCTGGATTAATTGAAGCACAGATGCTTCTTTTCAGAAGGTGATAAACATTTGCTGCTGTCAAGTCTGAAAAGGAAATGACAGACTAACTCAATAGGCTCACGAGTTACATAATCTAAGCCTATACTAATTTCACCATAAGAGATTCTCGAGAACATGTTGAACATAAAAGAAATATGCTCTGTTCAAGTTTTGTTATATCTAAAGCAAGCAGAGAAAACAGGAAACGCTCCCGGTTTGTACATGCTAGCCAGGTAACATATCCAAAATTCCCGCCAAAGAAAAAGTATGCTGAAAAGGAAGCCCTGTCACAGCACCCTATTCACAACCACATACACTTCCTCCTCACAATGCCTGCAAGATCAAAACAAATAAATAAGTGCAATACCAAGTCTAGATAGGAGCGCCAAAAAGCAGTGCCTTCTCAAGCAGTTAAATATGTTTTAAAGTTATGATTTGTGGGGGTTTTGTTTGTTTTTTACTTATGGGTTGGATGTCTCCTCCCATTAGGATGTAAACTCTTAAGAAACTCAGAGCCTTATCTCCTGCATTTGCAACACAAGAGACAGATATACCTATGGAATGCAAATATTTCCCAGAAAGCAGACATTCCTTTACTAAAGCACCGGGAATTTTTATTCAATTAAATCTGTACCGTTGCCAAGAACTTCTGGGCGCCAAAATCTTGCATCCACCAAGTTGTCCCTATTTTTTCTGGAATATAATGAAACATTTCAGCCCTCATCAGTTCGATCCCCTATAAAAGTCACAGCTGCCTGGGACAACTAACTCCCAACTCCCTACTCCCCTCCCGGGGGAACATGATACAAACTCACCTCTCTCCTCCGCCCCCGAAAGCCGTTCCCGCCCTTTCTCAGCCCAGCACTCACCCGGCTGCTTCTCGGCACCCTCCGAGGGCAACGACGGCCCTGGCGGGCGCTCCGGCCCCCCGCCCGCCGCCGAGGGGACTTTTCCTTGGCCCCAGATGACCAGGAGCAGGTACCGATCCATCTCCCTCCCGCTGCACCCGGGTTTCTTCCCTCCGATCCCACATCAAAACAGCCGCGCGCCGTGACGCACTTCCGGTCCCCTTCTATTGAGGCCGGCTGGAAACGGTGAGCTCGCGGTTGATTTTTCTGCAGCTTTACTAGCAAGGAGTGAATTTCGGGAGTTATTCTAGAGATGGCCGCATTACTTTCTCCTTCATAACGAAACAGCCTGTCGTGGGAAGATCGGAAGGGACCCGGGAAAAGGGGAGAAGCTGCCGAGTGCCGGCCGGCCTAGGAACCGTCCTGCTTGGGTGGATGCGTTTCCCGCCGGATCGGTGAAGCCGCGGACCGCCTCGGGCTCCGGACACCGGAGGACGGCCCCGCGAGTTGGGTAACATGTCGAGTTTCTCCAAGGCGCCCCAGGTGAGCTCGGACTCTGGGGCTTGATGGGACTCATTGCACTGGCAGGAGGCGCTCAGTGGCTCCAGCTGGCTCAGTGAAGCTGGATGGGCAGGAAGCCGAGTCCTTGGTCCAAGGGGTCCCTCTGGGAAGCACTGATAAGAGGGTCTTGGCTCTGGCCCCTACTTGTTCTTGTTCTCTTTGAATTCGTCCCCTCCTCTTTTCAAGCAGCCCTTTTCCACGTCTTTTGTTTCTGGCAAGAGTTTTAGGAGAGAAGGTCAGAGAGGTAATAAGATGGACCACGTAGGGCATTGTAGATCATTGTCAGAGTGTGCTTTTTACTGAGTAAAATGAGAGCCTATTGGAGGTTTTGGAGCCAAGGCATAAGCTGATCACAAGTGTTAACGGTAGGACTCTCGCTTGCTGAGTTGAAAAGACTGTTTAGAGGTGGGGATGGGTGGTGGATAGAAGCCAAGAATCCCGTTGGAGGTCGTTGCTGTGATCCAGGCTAGCCAAATGCCGGTAATACACAAACCAGGGCAGTAACCGTGTGGTGTTGGAAAATGGTAAATTTCTATTTGATGGTGGCGCCAATAGGATTTCCCAAACGATTACATGTGGGAGGATAGCAGAAGAGGAAGCAAGGATTGCTCCAAGGTTTTTTTTTGTTTGTTTGTTTCAACTGCCAGAAGGGTGTGCCATCAGTTGAGATGGGGAAGGCTAAGACTGTTGAGTTTTGTGTTTCAGTTTAAGATGCCTCTGAGCCCAGTGTGAGTCCTTCCTGGGACCAATAACTGTTACCTGTCCCTGATTAGGTAAAAACAAGAATTAAAATCAAACATTTTAAAACTTGTGTAATAGTTTGGCATTGTGGCAGAATTTTAATTTTTTAGCAAAGTTTTTTTTTCTCTGGATTGGTGGATATTGGATTGGGGGTTAACTAGTCTTTTGCTACTTGTGGTTTAAGCAGCACTGAAGAGCAGATGTTAAGAGGGCAGTTGGATCCCAGTGTAGATGAGCTCAGGGAAGAGGTCCAGGCTAGTGATGTGGATTTGGGAGTCTTCAGCATACATGTGGCATTTAAAGGTATAGGTCTGGATGAAGTCTGTGAGGAAGTGAGTATAGAGAAGAGAGGAGTGCTTATAGCCCGAGTTCTGGGACATTTCAACATTTCAGAGGCAAGGGATAACAGGACCACCAGCAGAGCAGGTGGTATCCTGGGAACCAAGTGAAGAATATCCAGGAGAATGAAATGATCAGCTGTCTGGAGGACTTAAAATTGACCTATGGATTTAGGAGGATGAAGGTCTTGATAACTTTGGCAGGCATTGGAGGGATAGTGATAGCTGCAGGAGAACAAAAGTCAGATTGGAGTAGATTGAAAAGAGAATGTGGAGAGACAAATTGTAATGAAGAAAAAGGAAAGGAAAGAAATGAGGCAGTTGCTATTGAAGAAGTGAGGTCAGGAGTTGCTTTTAAAAAAATTATGGAGAATTGCAAATCACATATAAAAATAGATGTCACCCACTATCAGAAAACTCATAGCCAATGTAATGTCATCTGTACCCCCATTGATTTCCTTCCCTTCTTTATGAATTTGAGGTAAAGCACAGACTCATTATTTCATCAGTAAACATTTCAATATGTTCTCCACAAGACAAGGATTTTTTAAAAATCACAATATCATTTATCAAAGCTAAATGAAAAATTAACTGTCATCATCAAATATCCAGTATGTGTCTAAATTTCCAGTTTTATCACAGATCTTACAAATACATAATATTTTTATAGTTTGTCCCTTTGGATTAGAATCCAAAAATGCAATAAGATGTTTTGGTAAGTCTCTCTTAATAAATGGGTCCCTTTTTCTTGCAATTTGTTGAAGTCACAGGATTGTCCTGTAGAATAGAATTTGTGCTGTTTGAATTGTTTTATTAGTCCATAAGCTGAGAATGGTAGGGAAAGGATATAGGCTAGAGCCATCTTTATTTACAAAAGGCATGATCATCTATTTTTTTTTTAAATCAATTTACAAAAAACTACTAAATCTGATGAATATCTTTAGCAAGCATACAGGATACAAGACCAATATATAATAGTGAAGTGTAGTTCTATATAGTAGCAACAAACAATCAGAAATTAAAAATACAATAGCATTTACAATGGCATCAAAATACATAAAATAGGGATAAAGCAGACAAAACATATGTAAGGGGAACTAAATAGAGACTAGAAAAATGAGAACAGGAGAAAAACGTAATTGGTAAGCAGTTTTATAGGCTGATTTGAGGTTGTGATCATTAAATTGAAAATGAAACCAGCTAGCCTAGTTGTATTTTTTCCAGCATCATGTAGCTGCTTATACATGTGCATAGAGGAAGAATCTGGTCAAGATCTTTCTGGGCTGTAAGTGTCCTTGCGTATGAAGGCACTATAGGTACTGAAAGGATAGTGATCTATGCCTAAGGCAGCCTAAATATGTCTAAGGCAGTTTATTGTTTTTTTTAATTATGATTATTCAGCATCATTCATCTATACTTCTCCAGCCACATTCTACTATTTAATTTTCCCTTTGAATTAAATTCCTGAATAGTCTTCAGTTCCTAATTCACAACACATTTTACACTTCATACAGACTTCTTATCTTTCCAGGTTTTCTGCTACGCCAGATAAAAAAATATAAATGTAAAGGGGAATATAAATACTTGGAATAGTTTTAATAAAGCATGATGCATATTACTAATAGAAAAGCAGGCAGGAAAAATTATTGTATTCTTTGATGATATATAATAATTATTTCTATTTTAATTAGAATTTTGTTTACTCTTCTGCTTTTCCAAGCAATGGGCCACTTTCGCTCGAGTTTGGTATCTCTTAGATGGGAAGATGCAGCCCCCTGGAAAACTGGCTGCAGTGGCATCAATTAGACTTCAAGGATTGCATAAACCTGTATATCATCAAAAGAGTGAGTACCATTTAGAACTGTAAATTAACCACAATTTACATGCCAGAATAGAATCTTGAAGTAGTTTGAGTGGGCTGTTTTTAAGGACCTCTTTTTTTCCTGATGATCATTTATTTCATTCTAGCTAAAAACCTACTAGAGCACTAAAATGAATCTGGCTTATTCATATTGGCATACAGACCAATATGCCTGGGACAACCCCAGTTTATACCATTGCCCCAGGAAAATTGTCAGTGATCCCACTTTCACACTCAGAAATATCCTGATTTGGACTATAAATTATATGTTAATTTCTATCCATGTTTCGTCATGCAGCAATATACGTTTGAATGTACAGGTTTTAAAAATGAGCACATAAGCTTGCCCTCTCTTCTAAAAGCCTTTTCCTCCAGAAAGATATGTAGAACTAGCTAGGCATGGAAAGCTTACTCTTTGCTATTATAAATTAATAAGTTTGCTTTTCTGTATCCCTTTTCCAAAACAAGTTGCTTTCATACTAAAAGACTTCTGCTTATTATAGACTACTAGAGGCTAATTTGTGCACAAGTAGGATCCCTAGGCCTAGCCTGGCCTCCAATGCATGGCCTCTGTCGCCCTGCAATGTTACGTGAAGCTCTGCCCCGGGACACTCCATTCCATGATGCTCACAGCCTCTGCCCCTTGACTGCTCCACAAGGTTCCCCCTGCCTCGCCACTACTGCATGAAACTCCCCCTGCCTCTCCACTGCTCAATGATGCTTCCCCCACCCCACCACTGCTCTGTGAAACTCCTCCCATCCTCCCTCCTCCCCCTTTGCTGCAGCTCAACAGTCCAGTCACCAGTCCCCTGTCCCCCACCCTGACTCATGGCAAGCAGTTTAGGAGCTGGGAGCGAGGAATGGGACCAAGAGGTGCTCCATACACCTTCTGGCTACTGGCTGTTTGTCATAACGCCATAAGGACCCTTGGGTTTTTATTATATAGTTTTGATTGACATCACTTAACCTAGGCTCATCAGTGTCCAACCTACTGAATCCAGGTGTCATTCCTCACCTTGCTTGACCTGTCAACAACATTTGTTGTGGTTGATCACAGTTTTAATTATCTTTATTTTGTAGCATGAAATATATATATACAAAGAGATAGAAAGATATAGATGTATCTATCTACATAAATATATAGGTATTATTTTAAAGAAAATTAATTGTGATAATGAACTCAATACCCATGCACTCAGTTTTCCAACTTATTTTTGGGATGACAAACAGCATTGCTATCAATATTCTTGTACCTTTTTTTCTGGTGCTCACATGGAAGAGCTTATCTGAGTCTCAGTAAAACAGGAATTTCTGGGTCCAAAGCTGCCTGGGAAGCTAGCTAGTCTTTATGCCAATGTCCTCTCCTGCCAACAGCATGTAAGTTTCTGTTTCTCCTCATCTTTAGTAACACTGAATATTTTCATTCTTTTTAATTTTGAATACTAGAAGTGAAATACTCTCTTAATGGTTTTAGCCGAGACCAGTTTGGCTCAGTGGATAGAGCGTCGGTCTGCGGACTGGAGGGTCCCAGGTTCAGTTCCGGTCAAGGGCATGTACCTTGGTTGTGGGCATGTCCCCAGTAGGGGGTGTGCAGGAGGCAGCTGATCGATGTTTCTCTCTCATTGATGTTTCTGACTCTCTATCCCTCTCTCTTCCTCTCTGTAAAAAATCAATAATATACATACATATATATATATATATATATATATATATATATATGCATATATATAAGAAATGCTCTCTTAATGGTTTTAATTTACATTTCCCTGATTCCAATGGAGCTATCTTTTCATTTGTTTATTAGCCTTTTATCATTTCCTCCTCTGTGAAATATCTGTGCATGTCTTTTGCTTTTTTCTAATTTTTATTATTAAAGTTCTACATTAGCTTTTTCAGAAATGTTCAGTATTGTACAGTGAATTTTTTTATGCCCTTGACTTGGATTCCATAGTTATAAACATTTTATCATATATTTTTTACTCAATCATTTGAAAACAAGTTGAAGATGTTATTATTATCTTAACTACATACTCTAGCATATATATTCTAAGTAAAACTATATCTTCCTGTGTAACCAAAATGCTGTTATAAGCAAAAAATATAATTATGCAGTTTAATACCCAGTGCAGTTTCAAAGCTCCCTGGTAATCCCAAGAATATTTTTTTTAGCTATTACTTTTGTGAACTATGGTCCAACCAAGGTTATATATTGCCTTTAGTTATCTTTTGTTTTAGTGTCTTTTAATCTAGTATAATCCTTCTCTTATTTGTTTCTTACCATTAATCTTGTGAGGAGTCTAGGCTAATTTTCATGATGAAAACTTTTTAAAAACACAGTTTTCACTGATTTTCCGGGATGCCATTCTTCCTTTTCTTCACCTCTCATTGATTCCATTTTCTCGTTCCCTTTTGCTCTCTTCAACTTTCTAAACTCCCAGACATTTTTCTCCCACTAAATATTGGGTGTGTCTCAGAGCCCAGTCCTTGAACCTATTCACATTCCCTATAGGATTGCATTCAGTCTCATGCCTCTAAATACAGGGTAGGGAAAAAAAAAAAAAAAAAAAAATACAGGGTAGGGCAAAAGTAGGTTTACAGTTGTGAATACATGAAACCCAATTTATTCTTTTATTATTATTTATAAATTATTATATTCTTTTCATATGAGCATCTATAAACCTAGTTTTGACCCACCCTGTATAATCTCTATGCTGAAGGCTCCCAAATTTATGTCTCCAGTTTTGACCCTTTTTCTATATTCCAGACTCACATAGCCACATTTCTACTCAAAAAAATCTTGTATCTTATAGACATCTGCAATAGAATAAGTCTATTTGAAGATGTTTTCCTTCATGATTTTCTCTGTCCTGAGAAACAACCTGTTTCTTCCATTTTTCCCATCTCAATTAATTTTAGTTGCTCTAGTTAGAAGTTTTTGCTTTATCTCTGACTCCTTTGCAGTGATATCAACAAAGTGATAAACAAGATCTCTTAGGTTGTCCTTGTAGAAATGCAAATGATGCACAATGTGGGGAAAGGGGGAGTTAGCAGTAGACACCTAATTTCCTTCTTAAGGTATAGCACTTACCTGGCCCTAAATGGAAGTTCTGCTTCCTGAAAAGCAGGCCATTATTGCAGAAGTGTTCCTTACACTCTGATGAGTAATCATTCTGCTGGAACACCAGAACTTTCCTGGTTGCTTGTTAGGCCATCCCTTTCTAGGAAAATCGCTTTTTTTATGAAATTAGAAATTTACATTTTAAAGGTTGAATTGTAGTTTTGTTTCGCACTAAATTTAATATATAACTTACATCAGCAAAACTTGTCCTGTCCACAAGATGTCACTAAAATCAAAACTTAAAAGTTTTCAGTTTATAAATACTATGTTGTGTATTTATTTTATTTCTAATATTTATTGGCTTAACCAGTATTGTTAAGCATGCGTTATTTGCTCATAATCATTGCAAAATGTTTATTTGAGAAGTGATATTTAATTTTCTGTCTGAAATATGTCAGTCTGTTGCATGCTTCATTGTCTCTGGTTCTATTTTTTATTTCGTTAAATCTTTTAAGGACTTGTTAGGGGAAAAAAATTTATGATGCTGTTCTTAAAGTAACCCAGTTTGCCCATTTTTCTCTTGTTGTTCGGTTAAGTGTCAATCTATTTTAAATGTTAATCATTGAACTATTTTAATTTTGCCATCTAATTTTTCAAATAAATTCAGCTTCAATGAAAAGTTAAAGATTCCATTTTCCCTCTAAATAGGTATCATGGAAAGAACCTGAACAGGGTTTAAGTAATTTGGGGTGTGAGCTTTTAGCAAATCACTGAATCTTAATGGCCCTTAACTTCTTCAACTGTAAATGTCTGACTGAAAGCTAAGGAATTTCAACATTCTTTGAAACTATATAGATATCTTGTCACCCTCTTTGTTATTTTGGTTTATTTGCCCCCAACTGCCTTAGTAACCTACGATGTGTCACTTTTAGGAACTTCAGTCACCAAATGCTATCAAACTATCCTTTTCAACACACTATGGTAACAGCAAGCTTCCCAGGTTTTCCCTTCACATCTCTGGATTTTCTTTCAGTTTAGTGAAGAAAGCTCATCTTTCCTTTACCCTTGTCCAGTGTAGACTATGAACTTTTTCTCAGAAAATTCTCCATTTAAAGTCTAACTTCTGTATGGATTCACATAATGTAATCTTTACTTTTCATATTCGATGCTTATTTACACTTTTTATTTTATCAGTTCTAAAATCTTTTGAAGTTTATTTTTTCTATTAGTAGGATAAATACTTAATAAATGTTTCCGATTACTTGATCTTGTCACATATAGTAACTCATGAAAATTTAGATGTTAACGTTTGGGGGGGGTGGTTGTGTGTGTTTTTGTTGTTTGTTGGTTTTTTAGATCAATAGACGAACTTAGGGGTACTTTTCACTGGAAAATTCGTCTAATACATATATTTAAATTTTCAGGTCATCCCATCCTGTCTAATATGAATGCAGTCAGAGTTGAGAGTGATCGTTTAAATTTAACTAGTTAAATATGGTTGGAAAAAATATTGGGTTAAGGAGTTAAGCATAAGATCCTAGTACTCTTTTCTCTACATTTAAGAAGAATAAATTGTGATGTTTTACATTTGTTTTCAATTTACCTATTGGCAAAACATATGCTTTTTATAACTACATGCATATTGTTTTCATTTTCTTTTCTGTTTTTAAGGGAAAATTAAAATTTAATATAAATACATTTTAGTGAAGTGAAATTATTAATAGAAAGATATAATAGAAATAACAATAATTTGCTGTTAATTTAAATAATTTAAAGATGTATTGTTTATATTGGCATCTTTATTAAATTTTCTTTCACCTTCCAGTGTTGAGATTTTCCAAATGGTTAGCCAACTCTTTCTATACTTAGATGTTGTATAAAGCAGAAACAGAAACCCATTCAAGGATGTTGATGTTGCACTGTGACTTCCTTTATATTTTTAATGTGTTGTTTAGACTTTGGTAAGCTTTATAAATAACCAAGGTCACTTCTGCTTAAAGATTTTTTCATATAAAAATATTTTCTTTTTTCTTTTTAAATCTAGGTGACTGTGGTGACCATGTTGTCATAATGAACACAAGGCACATAGCATTTTCTGGAAACAAATGGGAACAAAAAGTATACTCTTCACATACTGGGTAAGACGATGCCATTGTCACAGAAGACAGGCAGTAGAAATGTATTACCTTAATAACACCATTGATCTTATGTAAAAGAAAAATGTCTTTTCAAAATTTGGCATTTAAAAAATACTAATTTTACTCATGGTAATATATAATTTACTCAATCAAAAAAACACACCTGGACCAAATCACAGTTATTACTAACAAAACTTGTTTTTCCTTGAAACTTTTCATATGAACTTTTCCAGGCAAGATTATTCTCATTTTTTAGCCAATATTCTTACTTCTTTCTTTCTGCTTCTATAATTCATCTGTTTCCAGAACCATCCTGAACATCTGAAAGTACTTGAGATGTTTTAGTGGCGAGCAAAATCCCAAGTTTGGAAGATGCCTAAAATCTCCACAACATACCCTTCAAGTTATAGGTGTCTCTGCCTATGTTTGAATAATACCAGTCTCGTAGCTCATAAGATAGCCCATTCATTCCCCTTTGAAGTGCTCTAAATTTCAGAAAGATCTTTATGCTATTGAGTCATAATCTGTTTTTCTCCTGCTTTCACGTTAGTTTTATTTCTTCTCCTTGGGACATAATGAAATAATTGTATCTCTTCCACATAACATTCTTCAGATAATTTTGAGACCATCATCAGCAGGTGCCCATTGGCTTATCTTTTCCTTGGTCTTTAAACATCTGTGGTTCCTCTGGTTCTTTATATGGCTTCACTTCAAATACCCCCACTGTAAAATTGTCACTCTTTTCTAGATATAATCATTGTTTTTTGTTTCTCTATTTCTGGTGACTCTTGACTTACACTTTGGACATAGTATTTTTATTATGCTCCTAGTATTTTTTTGCAATTATGTATTCAGCATTTATCTTTCTAGTTATAAAAGTTTTAATGCATGCTAATGTTAGAAAATACAGAGAAATTTGGAGACGTAACTAAAAATCATCATCATCCATTAAATGAACATTATAATATATATGTTTATATCTTTTTTTTACTTAATGTGTTATTTTCAGTCACTGTGTAGTAGTGCATAATATAATTTACCCGCGAAACCGGTGTGGCTCAGTGGTAGAGCGTTGGTCTGCTGACTGAAAGGTCCCGGGTTCGATTCTGGTCAGGGGCATGTACGTTGGTTGCGGGCACATCCCCGGTAGGGGGTGTGCAAGAGGCAGCTGGTCGATGTTTCTCTCTCATCGACATTTCTAGCTCTCTATCGCTCTCCCTTCCTCTCTGTTAAAAAAAAATATATATATATATATATATATATATATATATATATATATATATATATATAATTTACCCTACTTAATCATTGCTCTGTTTTTGAAATTAACATTTTGACTTTTATAAAGAGCTGGGAAACAAGCCAACTGAGTATTGCATTACTCAAGTTGTTCCCTTCCTCAGAATTTTCAGTATAAAATCCAAACTTCTGAAATATAAATGTGATTATGGTTTAGAAGTCGCCATCCTAGTGTTAAAAATAGATAATCTTTAGTGTAGAAGGTGTAAAGTATTTTTCCCCCTGGAGAGAAAGAATATAAAAATTGAAATCTATACAGTATTTCTTTTTCTGAATCTGAAATTCCATTGTGAAATAAGTGAATTTCAACTTGAAAATTATCTTTCTCAGCAAATTTATAAATATGCTTTCTTAAATTTATTCCTAAAAGGTGCTTCTTTAAATCATCTTAAAAAATGTTTTTAACATGTTGAAAAGAAACTTATGAAAGGAAACACATTTAGGTTCATCTTAAACTTTTCTTGCAGAGTTCACTGATACTATTTTTTTCCCCTTCCTTGAAAATCATTTAGACTTTATTCATTCATCCATTATAATAAAACCTTACATCTTAATATTGTTTTTATTTTAAATTTAAGCATTTTCACAAACATTTTCTCAATTGACTCATAAAAACCTTGAAATGTAGCTGGTGAAGAAATTATCATTGTTCTTATATGAGTAAACTCATATAAAGTGGTAAAATGAGTTGCCTAATATTAGGTAGCCAATAGGAAATCTAGATTCCAGACTTTAATCTGTGGTATTCAAGTGACTGAGCTACCTCTAATATTATCCCAAATAAACATATTTTTAATCTCCAATTTACACATTTATATAATTTTTTTATCTGAACCAATGAAATATTTTATTAGTTAGGGGCAACATAATAACTCTTAGATAATAGGAAATAGAATCATGGCCTAAATCTTTAGAGTTGGAACTTTATTTCAGAACCAGATGGTCTACCATTGTTTTCCCCAAAATTGACCACTAGCTTATGCAGACGTTTAGTCTAATTTGGCAGGGAATTTTTACCATTGCTCTTTCTTTCTTAATTCAAACAGCGATAAACTACCCCGAGATAAATAAATGAATGAGTGAGTGAGCAAGCGAGCGAATGAGTGAATGATGAATAACTAAATTCCAATAAAAATATAAGTAGTCATGCCAAGAAATTTTCCAAGATGTGAAATTTTTTTGTGAAATAATGATGGTTTCCCACATAAAAAAATAGTATTTCATATAGCATAGGCTACTACTTAATTTTTTTTTTCAATTTTGAAGAACTGTTTATTAACTGACCAGATTATAAAAATAACAATGGTAGATATCTTAGTTCATCTACTACTACTTAATTTTTAAGACATAATGAATAGCATAGTTTCCAGAAACAAGTATAATTTTATAATAAAAATAGTTTTATATTATAAAAGCATATTCAAGAATACAATACCATAGCCTACTCCCAGCTTTAATGTCTTTGCTTCTTTTAATAGCTACCCAGGTGGATTCACACAAGTAACAGCTGCACAACTTCACCAAAAGGATCCAGTGGCAGTAAGTCTATTGGATTTTTTTACTTTTATTTTTTTCTGTGTAAATTCTAATGTAGCTAGCATTCAAGACTATAAATTCTTCATGCTAACTCTACCACACAAGCTTTGATAAGTATTATTATTCAGTTCTATATATTTTAACATTACTATTTGGTATGTTTTGCATTTAGTCAAAAAATGTTGATGCTTTTTAAAAATTTTCTTGACACCTGCAGGATCACCTAAAATATATGTTTGCTAAAAATGTCTTGAGGAAATACACTATATGTTTATCCATTACAGCAAATATGTTAACTATATTGTTCTAATCTTATATTCTTATTTACATTTTTGTTCACTTGATTTATTGATTATCTGAAAGAGCTATATTAAAATTTCACTTGTAGATTTAATTTTTTTCTTGTAGTTCTGTCAGTTTTTGCTTTGTATGTTTAAAGATTTAGCATTAGATAAATTTAAGTTTGCAATTATAATCTTCTAAATAACCAATGAGGGTGTATGCACTGTCCCTCTTTATCTCCAATAATGCTTTTTAACCTGAGGTCTATTTTTTTAAATATCAATGTAGCTCTACTATAAACCTTCATTTAATAGTATTAGCCTAATATAACATTTTACAGTTTTACTTTAAATTTTACTGTGCTATATTTTATTTTATTTTTTTCTCATTTTCTTACCTTCTTTTGGATTGGTAGAGTTTATTAGATGTCTAAGATTACCCAATGTATTTACTTTCTTTCAAATAAAATCAAGGAGGCCCTTAGAAGATTTTTAATACCTACTTTCTCTCATAATCAATGTTTTCCCTATCCTTAAGATTTTTTTTTTAATATATTGATTTTTTTACAGAGAGGAAGGGAGAGAGAGAGAACTAGAAACGTCGATGAGAGAGAAACATCGACCAGCTGCCTCTTGCACACTCCTTACTGGGGACGCGCCAGCAACCAATGTACATGCCCCTGACCGGAATCGAACCTGGGACCTTTCAGTCCGCAGACAAACACTCTACCACTGAGCCAAACAGGTTTCGGCAAGATTTTTTTAAAATTAAATTTATTAGGGTGACATTGGATAATATGATCATAAAGGTTTCAAGTGTCATTTCTATGATACAAGATCTGTACATTACATTGTGTGCCAACCACAGAAAGTCAAGATTTTTTAAAACCCTTTCAATTCAACATTCTTGTTATTAGTTTATACAGTTATTTTTTTTTATTTTCTTTGCTTACAATCCCTTCATGTAACTCAGCCTTCCTTCTGAGTTCTATTTCCTTCTTAAAGGAAATTTTACTATTTGTTTCTTTTTTAAGCTTTGATAGTACACCATAACTCTTACACAAATTATAGTTTTTAATGTTTTTAAAATTAAAGTTTATATATTATTTAGATATCCTCACTAGGAGGCAGTATAAATCAACTTTTTGAAGAATTTAGCATTGGGTAACAGTAATTTCATTTTTGTATATAAACAAAGAATGAAATGTATTACAAAATGTTGGATGGAGACGTGGAAACTATTTTAGAGTTAAATCCATTTCAATTATCACCTCATTAAAAGATCTTAATTTTTTTTTAATTCCTAATTTTGACTCTGTGTTGGCATATTAAGGAAGAAGTCAATAATTTTACTTCCAATACCTATCTTTCTGGAGCAGTGAGTTTCTCCCAGCAGATAATTTGCAAGTCAGTACTTAGTGTACGTGGCTTGTAAGAGAATGTGTTTTGTATTGCATTCTTCTGATATTCATGGAATAGTATTTATAAAATACATAATACATTTAATAGTTATTACTATGTTGTTAAATATTTCAAAGCATTTTAAAATCACTAAGATTATTCAAAACTCAAATAAATATATTGATTCAGCCCTTTCCTTCTATCCTTTATCCCTCTGTCATATATTTTAGTTTCTGTAAGAGCTTTTGTGTCCTTACATTTTTCTTTTAACATGGTTCCTTTCTTATGTTTCTCCACCTCCTATAATTAGTTAATAAAGTTATTTTGTGTGAATTACAATAAATGGCACATGCCCTGGATTACAAGTTATCTGAACAAAGTGATGTTTATTAACCTCACCTTGTTTTATCTTTTTCACTTTCTGAATTCCTGAAAGCATTTGCTTAAGTCTATACAGCTAGAACTACTTGATTGTATGTGCATGTTGTGTCATATTTATTTTGGGTATATTTATATTTATGTTTGTGTATCTGTCTTTGTCTCCTCTCAACTTATAACCTTTTTTAGCTTTTTCTAATTAGACTGTTATGTTTGCATTTTTTAATAGAGTAAATTTTTAAAATACCAACTTGTTAATTCAACTAAGAACAACTAAATTGTTTAAGAACATGGAAACCAACTGCCATGTAATCTTACTATTAGATAAAATTGCTAAAGGGATGATTTTTGAGGATATAAAGACTTGCTGACTTGCTTATCCAGAAAAGTTGCTAAGTAATTCTAACATTGTCAGTTTCTACAGAAGACTTTTTAAAACATTAAACATTTTAAAGGCTAGTTTCTAGATCAGTACCGTCCAGTAAAACTCTCTCTCTACCTTGACGGAAAGTTCTGTGTCTGCACTGTCAAAGATGGTCACCACTAAGCCACAAGTGGCACCTGACCACTTGGAAACTGGCTGTGTGGCCAAAGAACTGAATTTTCTTAATTTGATGTCAACATTTAAATAAAGTCTCCAAAACATAAAGTACGAACAGAACTGAGCTAAAAAAAATAGATGGAGAATATGTATGGGATGTCATTAGCTTTTATGTGTAGAAAGGTTTTGATGAGAAAATAGAAGGAATAGAAAATCCTTTTATAGTGAAACCCTGTTCTAACATGAATTGTTTTAAGGCATTTAGCTATAAAGCATGTGAAATTATATCCTTGAAATGTGAGTACAGATGATGAAAATCTATACAACACTCCAAATGTCTCCTTCAGCAGTTTTGTGAAGAACTCACCATGTATTACTATACACTGTATGCCAGGAGGCCCCCAGGAGATTAAGGAGCACAGGGTGACCCTGTGTGGCCTTCTCTTGACAAAACATACATGAAATCACTCTTAAACCAACAGTGAGGATAACCATCAGAGGGGAAAAGTAAATCATGGAAAGGTTAGTTTATAATATTGGTAATGGGTTTGATAGAGAAAAGTAACATTTGTCTTCCTGGTAAGATATGGACAGAAACACTTGAAGGTGTGATTTCCTGTACTGTATATCTATTCTGGGAGTTTTGACTGCCTGGTTTGAATTCACACATGGACACTTATAGATATACTAGAGGCCCACCATGTAGGGTTCCCTGTGCCTCGCCTGCCATCAGGATCCTGTCCGTGCCCCATGATGCCTTGCACAATCCGGCATGCATGGTCTGCAGACACTGCTGGTGCCCCGCCCACCACGAGAGCCGCTGCTCATTTGGTCGTGACCACAGGCCTTTTATGATATAGATTAGAGGCTCAGTGCACAAAATTCGTGCACAGGGGCAGGGTGGGGGTTGTCCCTCAGCCCAGCCTGCACCCTTTCCAATCTGGGACTCCTCGAGAGATGTCCAACTTCCCGTTTAGACCCTATCCCACCGGTGAGATCAGGACTAACTGGGCAGTCGGACATCCCTCTCACTGCCTTCCTGATTGCCCCTGCTTCTGCCTGCCAGACTGATCACCCCCTAACCACTCCCATGCCAGCCTGATTGATGTCTAACTGCTCCCCTGCCAGCCTGTTTGCCCCCAACTTCCCTCCTCTGCTGGCCTGGTCACCCCTAACTGCCCTCCCATGAGGGTTGATCGCTTTCAACTGCCCTCCCTTGCAGGCCTGGTCCCTCCCAACTGCCCTCCCCTGCTGGCCATCTTGTGGCCATCTTGTTTCCACATGGGGGGTGGATCTTTGACCACATGGAGGCAGCCATCTTGTGTGTTGGAGTGATGGTCAATTTGCATATTACTCTTTTATTGGATAGAATAGAGGCCTGGTGCACAGGTGAGGGCCAGCTGGTTTGTCCTGAAGGGTGTCCCAGATCAGGGTGGGGGTTTCCTTGGGGTGTGGGGCAGCCTGGGTAAGGGGCCTATGGTGGTTTGCAGAATGGCCATACCCCCCCCCCCCCCCCCCCCCCCCCGCTCCTCCCAGTGACCCAAGCGGAGGCCCTGGTATCTGGGATATATTTACTTTCTACAATTGAAACTTTGTAGCCTGGAGTGGAGCCAAGCCTCCTGCTCACTCCATGGCAGCAGCCATTTCTGTTTGGGTTTGTTTACCTTCTATAATTGAAACTTTGTAGCCTTAAGTGGAGGCTTAGGCCCTCAAGGGCAGGCGAAAAGCTTGGCTTCCTCTGTTACCAGGGAAAGGCCTCCCTCCTGCTCTCTGTGGCTGTAGCCATCTTGGTTGGGTTTATTTGCATACTTGCTCTGATTGGCTTATGGGCATGGCTTGTGGAGCAGAGTGATTGTTAATTTGCATATTACTCTTTTATTAGGTAGGATTATATCAAGGGAATTGTAAAATCTCACTACATCAGTTTTCTCCTCTGTAAAGTGAGACTCACATTGTAAACCAAATCAAATATAATGAATGCACTAACCACTATACACATAGCAAGTTCCATGAATGTTAACCATTACCACTATTGTAGATTTGCGACCTCTTAAATTGGTGTCTGTATAGTCAGGCTTAGTGTTTGAGATGGAAACATCCTACTCTATTAACTACACAGTAAATATTTGAGCCATAGGTGTTTGTAAAAGCTTAGAGAACTTCTTAGTCTAGTAAAATTGGCACACACATAGGTTATTTTTAATTTCTTTCTTTTGCCCTTTTTGCTAATTAAAAAATAAATTAAACAAATATAGAGCCTAAAGAAACAGTGATGTGTAAGTAATAAAAGTTCCTTTTCTATTGCTGCCACATATTCACTCTGGTCTCAGATTGTTTCCTTTCATGTACCTATTGTCTTGGCCCACTGGTTTTCATCACTGTCTAACTAAATCTGCCTTCTTAATATTACAAGTTATATTTGTATGTTACTGAGTCCTACCTATGTGTTTTCCAGATTGTAAAACTAGCTATTTATGGCATGCTCCCAAAAAACCTTCACAGGAGGACCATGATGCAGAGGCTGCATCTTTTCCCGGATGAGGTAAGTCAGTGGTCATTGGTAACGACACTTACCCTCAATTAAAGACTTTCTCTTCTTTTAAAATAATTGTGGTGCTTATTTTCAATAGTTTCATGTCAAACTCTGAATTTCTTTCTGTACTTTATAGTGAGCTACTCTGATAGCAGTTGTTCATATTTTAAGTCATAATATGAGCTATTATTGGACAAAAGTAATTTATATTTTATTCATTTTAATAACTGCTTTTTTTTTTTTTTTTTTTTAAACAAGGTACTGTGGTCAGAGTTCCTGTTAAGTTGAGGATACTAATTGGTGATTTCAAAAACAGTAAAAACTGTGCATTTAGTTTACATTGTATCTGACTAGTAGTAAAAATTCTGTGAATCATGCATAAATAATTTAGGTTTGGTTGCTAATTAGGTCCCATGATTTAACTTGGGGACACATGTCTCTACTCAAAAATATTCTTCTAAAAAGTACTTAAGCCTACATTTTCATTTAATCCAGGATATACCAGAAGATATTCGTAAGAATTTAGTGGAAGAGCTTCCACAACCACGAAAAGTACCCAAACGTCTAGATGAGTACACACAAGAAGAAATAGAGGCTTTCCCAAGATTGTGGACTCCGTAAGTCTTTCTTTTTTCTGTCTTTGTTTTTAATGTTTGTTTGTTGTTGTTTTTTTTAAGCTAATAAGGCTTAAATGATAAGGCTCTTGAAGTAGAAAGAGTGAACTCTTTTACTTCTTTGGATACTCTTTGTAGCTTCTACCCGCAAACAAACTCTAGATGTAGATAGTTTCTAAATCTTAAGACCTTGCCAGGCAAATGCAAAGGTGCTCAGAGGTGCCTACAATGGTCAGATATTTTGTTTGGGGGGTGACATTATTTTGATTAATTGTAGTCTCTTAGAATGATACTAAATGACTTGTCATTACTTAAAGTGATTTTCCATTTTCCAGATTGCTTCACTAAGCAGAGACTATTATATAATATTGTAATGAATAGTCCTTAATCCTAGATACTTATAGTCTTAATCCATATTGGAAAACAAAAAACTTTTTCTCTTCCTCTTTTCTGTACAGTTCCATATACCTCACGTCTGGAAAGCTGCTTAGGTTTGACATACTCGCTCTCATCTGATTACTTCCAGGTTTCTTTGCCTGGCCTTCCACCTCTTCATGACCTGGTTCCTCCCTATCTCTTCAGCTTAAATTCTTTTTCTTTTTCTTTTTCTTTTAAACTATATTTTATTGATTTTCTACAGAGAGGAAGAGAGAGGGATAGAGAGAGTTAGAAACATCGATTAGAGAGAGTCATCGATCAGCTGCCTCTTGCACACCCCCTACCAGGGATGTGCCGGCAACCGAGGTACATGCCCTTGACCGGAATCAAACCCGGGACCTCTCAGTCCGCAGGCCGACGCTCTACCACTGAGCCAAACCAGTTTCGGCTCAGCTTAAATTCTTCCCACTCCACGGCACTGTTCAAGCAATAGCAGGCTGCTTAAGACTGGTAGTCTTTTATCCAATTTAACTCTTACTTGCTCTTGTTCTGCTCTTACTTCTGCATAAAATAAGTCCCTCACCCTTTCTTTTTTTTTTTCCAGGTTTCCCTGTAGCAGGAATATGTACTAGATACCAGCTCTCCTTTATGCTATTAAAGTTGTGATCTTTCCTCATAAGTACCCTTACGCACAACATACATGGTGGGGCAGATGTAGGCTTACAGTTTGTGAGTTTACCTTATTATTATTACTTATGAATTGATGTATTATTTTCCATCCAAGCAACTATAGACTTACTTTTGCCCCACCTGATAAATTAACTTGTATTCCCAAAATAATTAGGTATGTATAACTTAGTAAAATTTCAGGCTATATCATGATATGTGTACTAGTTATTAAACATAAATCAGTTAATATTTTATTCTGCACTTTAGAACATCAAGTCTACTTAGTTTTTATTCCTGTGGAATGTATGTAATAAGGAAAACGTTTGCATTTTTAGGTTAGTAATCAAAAATTATCTAAGAAACAGATGATCTTTTAGTTCAGGACTAACAGTACTTTCTTCGGTGATTAAAAAAATACAACTCCAAATCAGAGCTGTCTACTGTAGTAGCTCCTGGCCACATGTAGCTCTTAAGTACTCACCCTGAGCTAGTATGACTGAGGAGCTGAATATTTAATTATATGTAATTTTAATTAATTTAAATTTTAGTAGACTCATGTGGCTAGTGACTACTTTAATAGACTCTGCCATTTTAGTTGTTTGCAATGTCATAAAGTTGTAGTATTGAATGTTATTATATACACTAGAATTAAATTATTTTAGGTATCATGCAATGCAGTCCATTGTAAATGGGTTTCTTATTACTGGTACATTTGCTTTCATATGGAAAAAAATTTTTTCCTCATTTTGGAGAAGGAACTTGCTTAAAATATGCTTCTGTTCCACCCAAAATAGCTAAGCCAAGAATATAATCTTTTTTTCGAATGTAGTAACTGGACTTTATCCAAGGTAGATCTGCTGGTGAATCTGCAGAGACTTGACTCAAACAGATGTACCTGGATTGCATCATAAATAAATGGACACAAAAATAGCTTGTTTTGTTTTTTTGTTTCCCTAGCAATAAAACTTGAAATATGTTCATAATATAAAAATGTACATTTTGTAATTGGAATTATCATTAGCTTTTGGTTAAGTATTAGTTTTTCTACTAGACAGAAAGCTTTTGAACAACAATAATAATAATAATTGTCAAACTAAGCTTTGAACCCAGTTGGTAATTGACAACATTTTTAAAATCTTAATTAAAAGCTACCATTGTTGGAATTTAATTTAAATTATTTTAAATTACTTACAAAATTCTCTCAGGTCTAACTTCAGCAAACATGAAATGTTTTTTTTTTATGCTAGTTGTTTAGTCATTTTCAAAACAATGGTAAAAAAGAAGGAAAAAACTAATTTTGAGAAAACTATAAATATTTTTTATAGTTAAAATCCATTTTCTCATATGAGAAGTATTGCTTATATACCTCACTTCTTAAATTAATGAATACACTTGATAGATTAGTACTTTTACATCTTATGGATATGTAATTGTTATGTTATGAAGTTACATTTTGGGCTTTTGATGGTACAGAGTAGATGTGTGTTTGCCACATGTAAGTGTGTAGGATGCTCACTTAGAACTTATTTCTCAAAGAAAACAGTAACAGAACTATCCTTTTTTCAAAATTTGCTGAGATTATAGCTCTCAAATGGTCATAGCCTTCAAATGGTTAGCTTATTTCATTACTATCGATAATTATTTCCATAATCATTGCAGTTTTGCCAACACATTACAAAACCACAATAATCATGGAAATCATACTGCTAGCATTGTAATGGAAATGTTTCATTATGTATGTTAAAAATAAAACTTGGATCATTTTAAGCTCTTTGTTTTCATTTTTTTAAAATTCTGTAAGAACTTTCTTAGGAAAAACTAGGTATGTGAAATTTTTCAACTAGAATTGCTTCACATTATCTGCAGTGATAAAACAAAAACAAAAAGAAATGTTTTTTATGTCTCACACATTAAGTCAGTACTGTTTTATTGTAAGCAAAATCCTCACCTTTATAGAAAACCTAAGGGTGGAAAGTTTCAGCATCAATAAATGCTTGAAAACAGATGTTTACTATGAAAAACTCTTATTCATAGTATTCAATGCTCTTTTCAGAATGTGCTATTCGAAGTGTGACCACAAGGGAGAGAGGGTGGTAGTAGAGATGAAAGGGAGGAGGTATGAGTACAACCATGATCGCCCCTAGAATTCTCTTCCTTGAAAGCAGGATTATGTTTAGGTTGTTTTATAGGTTAATCCAGGCAGACCTGGGAAAAGAAAAAAGGGTTCCGGATGCCAGAACATTAGCACTGGAAAGGCAACCTGTTGAGCACCCTGTCCAGTCTATAGCTCTAGGACCCAGCAGAGATGTAGGCCTAGTGTGTGCCTTCTGATGCAAAAGCTTTTAATCCTAAACATTTACAGGTTTCCAGTTTTTGTTAAATTCATATCCAGAAAAATACTATTTTTACCTATGCCTTTATAAAATGTGCTTCAGATCAGAGACATAATTACAGATAGAGGAGAAGGATTTTTACCTTTTCAAAATCCATGAGGAGCAAGGATCTAGACATCTTCAAGATTTTCCGTAATTTCATGCTAGTCTAGTCATGTAACATTTTCCTACAAGATTTAACTTAATTCACTGCTCTTTAGTATTAGCTGGACCTGGGAGCAAGGTTACATTCCAATTTTCCCATTCATTTTAACCAGCTCAGCATTGGCTCAAACCATATACCTCAGTATTTCCAGTGCTGAATTTTGCTCAAATTAGGCATTCTAAATTGTTCTAAACTGTTCATTTGGATATGAACAGATTAGAACTAGTTGTTAAAATAAAAAACAATTTCTCTTTAAATGATCAAAACCAAATCATTTACTATCTTAGCCAACAGAATTTAGGATTTTAATGCAATTGTTGAATGTAACTATTCCTGTTAGTTTTAATTGAACAATACTATGATTTAAACAAATTTTTAAGTCTTTTGAGTTTAATTTTTTTCTTAAAGCACTGTTGAGCCCGGCTGGTGTGACTCAGTGGTTGAGTGTCGACCTATGAATTAGGAGGTCACGTTTTGCACATGCTTGGGTTGCAACTTTGATCCCTAGTAGGGAGTGTGCAGGAGGCAGTCAGTCAGTGATTCTCTCTCATCATTGATGTTCCTATATCTCCCTCTCTCTTCTTCTCTGAAATCAATAAAAATATAATTTTTAATAAATGCCTTGTTGAACTTTCTAATCAGGCTGGTAGTGCAGGGCCAGGAGAGATGAGTGTAAAGGCAGCATTACTCTGCCTCACTGTTACCTGGACAGCCTTTAGTTCAAGGAATATGTGATTTCGCCGGATTTCCTGGAATGGTTAACTCTCAATAATCTCATCTGTACAATGGAAATGACTTAAAACTCGATCAAACCAACTTTTTACTTTTTTAAGATTATTCTGCTATCTAAATTTTATTCTAGCCTTAAATATTTTGTTGGAGTAAGCATGATACTGAGAAATATGATATAGGAATGAAAAGACATAAGACCTATCTGTAATACTTTCCCAATAAAGACAAACTTTTTTAAAAGAAGAAGAAAAGACATAAGGCCTAAGGGAAAAGAATAAAATACTTTTGAGATTACACTTATTCCCACTTTATGGACTTACAATGGAAATTCAATGCTTTTTCCCCTTAGAAAATAAATAATCTTTATAGAGCAAATAATATTAAATGTATCTAATTAAACTTTATCATAAACTGTGTGTTTTATAGCTTTATTTTATTCACAAACCAAATGTATTTTCCATTTTATAATGAAAACTAAAATCGACCAACAGTTTTTTCCTGAAGATTTTTTTTGTAGAAATGTCCCATTTTTAAGATAATGTAAATGTGTTGGCCTCTATCATTCCCATGTTCTAATTTGAGCATCTGCATTTTTGAGATGTATTTGTTTCATGTTAATGAGATGCAGTGTTTTGCAAGTATCTAATCCCTTAGCCATAATATTGTACACTATTACCACCCCTAGTGGCAAATTAAACCATCTGTACTTAACCATTCTACTTTGTAAGGATTTGGCTTTAGTGTTTTTCACCAAAAACTTAGAAAATAATGTCTGTAGATGTTTCTCAATGAACAGCTAATGTCATGTGAAATCAGAGAAATAATATTCCTTCATCAGGCAAGTGAAAATGAAATAATGATTCACGAAGACATAAATGTTGATATTTTTGTTTCAGACCTGAAGATTACCGGCTGTAGAGAAATGAAAATTGCAGAAAATCTCAAGGAGATGATTGAAACTTCTTCCTGATGAGTTTCTCCTGAGCTGCAGGGCTGAGTGAAGCACTGCTGCATTGGGGTGGAAGCTGTTATGGGCGCTGAACGGTGGTGGAGAAAGGTCAGGAAAGGATCTTCCTTCTACAGGAAATTGTAATAGAATCCATTCTTTTATAGAACTGCTGTCGTGTAAATTGGATTTGAATGTTATCAGTGGGATAAGAATAAAGTTGGCTAACTCACTTGGCTAACTATTCCGTTTTTGCATTCTTTTAAAAAGTCCTGGGTAGCATTGCAGTGAAAGTTGCCAATAAGGACCCATCTATGCACATTTCCTGCCAACTGGGAAGAGAGCCTCCTTCACTTTTCCTTCCATGACTACTTTATCTAACCTGCTGTCCTTATAAATTCACCCTTACACTCAGCAGGGTAAAATTTCCCCTGAAGTATTTACAAACTGCTACCATCCTTTCTCCATCTAGCTTCTCGGCCCCCATGACACCAAAATAAAGTAATGCCTAACTGTTACCTAGAAACCTCACTCCCGTTCTGTGCTATGTGCACACCACTGCGCCATATCTCCATACCTCCATAGGATCCTACTCACTTGTGTCCTGGGCACTTAGGTTGAGCTGCTGAAATAATCTAGCAAAATCTGATCTCCAAAAATTAAATGCTAAGCCACTGTATTTGGCCATTTTTATGATGTTTTTTCTTTATTTTTTCCCCCCTTTTCCTTGCCCTAGCCCAGTGGTTGGCAAACTTGAGCCATATGGGGCTCTTTGGCCCCTTGAGTGTGGCTCTTTCACGGAATGCTACGTGCAGGCACGCACATACAGTGCATTTAGAACTTTGTGGCCCATGCACAGGAGTCAGTTTTCGGCTCTCAAAAGAAATTTCAGTTGTACTGTTGATATCTACCTGTGTTGACTAATGAGTTTGCCAAGCACTGCCCTAGCCAATCAAGGAGTGGGTTTCAGACCATCTTTCTCATCCATTCAGCAAAGTATTGAATGCTTGCTATATGCCAGACACAGTGCTAAGCATTGGGAAAACAGAAATTACACATCTTCCCCCAACACATGCCCAGCAAAGAGTGTACAGGCTACTGCAGAGTGGGAAGGAACTATAGAGAGATTGTAAATATTTGCGCCTGGGTGTCAGAGTTGCTGATGTGACAGAGTGTGGCTTCTGATGTATGTTTCAGCTGGCATTAAACATGAAATGTGGCTAGAAACCACCTGCTAGTGTGCAGGGCACAACTGCTTTACATAAATTAATTCATTTAAACCGTACAGCAACCCTATAATGTATATAGTGTTATCCTCCCCTTTTAAAAATAGGCTCACTGAGGCAGCACTAAATTAAATAACTTGGGCAAGGTCATAGAACTGATTTGAATCCAGGTTGATTGGCTCACAAATCTGTAATAACACAAGCATAACCTGGTTCAAGTCAACAGCTGCCATTCACAACCGAGTGGCAGTTAGATTTAAATTGTCAGACCAAAACAAAGGAAATAATGAAAATAAAAACTGTTAGGCCCAAAAGCTGCACCCCTACTTCACCTCTGACATAGTCATCTTAGTTGGGCACCCATAGGAAACAAGCCCCAAACTCCTGAGGCAGCAACTTTAATCAGGAGGGATTTTTGTCTCGTGTACCTAAGCATCCTATTCCTGGTTTAGAAAGCTCATGGAAGAAAGTCCTTGTTTCCAATAAAGCAGGATTTGAAGAGGTGAGATAACATGTTCTATAAGAATATTGAGTCCAAGCATCATGGTATTAAATATCCAACCATCAATCTCGCTTGCTGTGGATGAGAACACCTTTGGTGAGGGGGTTGGGGGCTGCTGACCCTGCAGACCCAAGGAGACCTGCAATGGAGCTCTTATGTTGGCAAATGAATGCTCCTCCCTGCTGTTAGAGGAGCTAACTCCATTTTGCTGCCAGAGAGAACCAGAGCGGAGGCTTTAGCACCAAATCAACAGCCCATCTGCCATGGCTTGAATGTTTACCAGCCTGACCTGCACATGCTCTAAGAGACCACAACTACAAGCAGCCAAATAAAACCACAACTCTGGTGAAGTAGACCCAGCAACCTGAGGGAGGAAGACAGCCTGAGCAAATAGGATCGTGACTCCTATTGAAGTAAAATGAATAGCCGAAACAGAAGAGAACTTTAAAAAATAAAAATTTTTGCAGAAAAAGAAGGAAACCCTAATCATTTCAAGAATCATTTGGGAAGGAAAAAGCAAACTGATGTATATATTCTGTTACTTTGTATGTCTGTAATATGAAAATTGGTGCACATAAAGAAGTCATTAAAACCAAACAGGCATTTGCTCATATGCAATTTCCCACCAGGAGCCAGTGTGCTGCGCCATTGGGTAACACCAGGTAAATGGGAAAAGCATCCAGCTGAGCATAATGACCTGCGGGAGAATAATACCAAACACCTTATCTCTCCACTTCACCCCAGTGCACGGCTGTAGTTTCTCAGTAAAACCTGAGGACACATCCTGATTAGAAGTAACAAAGGCAAAATGAGCCTCAAGTACTGCAAAGTTTCGAAGTAAGAAAATGTGACATTGCAATGTCTAGTCGGCCCAAAGTAATACAGTGATGAACTTGGGAGACAACACCGAAAACGAACGCAACAGAGAGCTTCATCTTCACTTCCAGTAATTGCCTGCTTTCCTGGTAACAGAGAGTGGGAAAGGCCTCCTCTGCAGTTGGCTGAAAACTGCAGCCTCACCCAGCCTGAGCAGTTGTGTCATCTGATCTCCTCGCAGGCCATAGAACAGCTTCTGTAGGTGGGGTGGCAATGCACACACAACCATGAGAGTTGGATTTCTGTTGTAAGCCAGTTCGGAGGAATGGAAAAACAAGACAGGAAGTCACAGCCATCTACCCCATGTCATTTGAAAAATTGTAAACACCTCTACCAGGCAAACCATCTCTCTCAAAGTAACTGTCTCCATTAGGGACTGAAGATGCTTAAATTAAAATTGTGGTAGTTTTCTTGTATCACTTACTTGATGGGTCACTGTTTGAGTTTTCTGCCCCAACTCCATTTTCCCATACGTCCTGTTATTTGGGAGGGCAAAATTCCATCGCACAGGGATCTTTTTTAGGATTGCATACGCCATGTTGTAGGATTATTGGAAATATGTACTCACTGTGATTACTGGCTCATCACATCCTTCAGCAGAAGTGGCCACAAGTGAGATACTGTACAACAGTCTGGTGCCATCTCCTTGGGGCTGGGCCGCAGTAGGGAGCACCTCACTGCAAGACCTCCTGGATGGGCAGAGCAAGCTGTTGTCAGAGCCTAGTCACACCTCCAGGTGTGGGATATCTCGGGTTCAATCAGGACCCAGCAGGTGGGCCACATAAAGCTGGATTCTAACGCAAGTCTTTAAAGCCATCCTTTGCCCAAAATGCAATCCTTTTCTTTCATATCCCAATTTCTACTCTAAATTTACAAAGTGAATGCTAAGGGTTGTGGCTGGCCAGATTGATAAATAATATCCCAATTTAGACATGGGGCCATGTGCTGGCCCAGAGACTAGAATTGGTGGTCATGAATCAACGCTGCCATCTTTAAAAGAATTGAAGGTCAGAATTTCGTTTCACTTGCAAGATTTAACCCAAATGAAGGAGGTTTAAAAAAATATGCATGTGTTGCCGAAACCGGTTTGGCTCAGTGGTAGAGCGTCAGTCTGTGGACTGAAAGGCCCCAGGTTCGATTCTGGTCAAGGGCATATACGTTGGTGGCGGGCACATCCCTAGTAGGAGGTGTGCAAGAGGCAACCGATCGATGATTCTCTCTCATCGATGTTTCTAACTCTTTATGCCTCTCTCTTCCTCTCTGTAAAAAATCAATAAAATATATTTTTTTAAAAATATGCATGTGCAAACAAAATGGAAACAGACTCATAAATAAAGAAAAGACTAAAGTAGGGGTCGTAGAGGGTGGAGAAAAAGTGATTAAGAAGTACCAAGTACCCTGGTTGGGTTTTCTCTGTGGTTAGAGTGTTGGCCAGCGGACCCAAGGGTCTTGGGTTTGAGTAGCAGGTTTGATTCCCTGTCAGGGACATGTACCTCGATAGGTTTCCAAGCCTCGGTAGGGGTGCATGTGGGAAGCAACCAATCAATGTTTCTTCCTAAACTTTATTCTCCCCCTACCCTCCCACTCCTCTCTCTCTTCCTCTCCCTCTCACCCTCGTTTCTCCCACTTTCTCTTCAAATTAATGGAAAAAATAACTATGTGTGGTGCCTGGTGGGTACTGGAAACATGGGGGGAGCTCACTTTGTAAAGTATATGATTGTCTTACCAATTCAAAATAATATTGAATGTAAACTGTGATTGGAAAAAAAAAAAAAAGTCTTCTGGAAAAAAATGCATGTAAATTGCCATTTTTATCCTATTCTTACTACAGTTTCTTCTCCTTTCATGCTAATTCCCTCCTAGCCAGATCTTGACACTGCCCCCCTGCCTATGCCCCCATCTTTTTTTCTATGCTGCAGTCGACTGATTTGTTTTCCTACCTTCTCCTGGAAAACGGGGTTCGTTCCACCCTCAGCCAAGAACAACATTCAATGTCCAGATCTTTCCTGGCTGAAAATTCCGCCATGGAACAGGTAGCAAGTTCTGAGTGTGCGAAGCCAGAGCCCCAGGAGGGATCCTGCTGCCAATCTCTACAATGCCCTGTTTGAATTGGATAGGACCCTATTTCAGAAGGCCCGATCCTTCCAAGACAGACATTAAGGCTCCAGTTCAACGTAAATACAGGCTCTTACAGAGAAATAGTGATTCTCTCTCTCTTTCTGCCCAAAAACCTGAAGTCAGAGTTGAGTACTTTTGCAGCATCACTACTGCTCGGGGCTTCGCCTTCAAAGAATGCAAACCTGAGCTCAGCTACTGGTAAAAGAGGCCGTTGCTGCCCCTGAGGGCCAGCTTTAATGAGGCAGGCTGCCAGGAAGCCTGAGGACCCATTTTCCACGTGGAGACAGCACACAGCATCTTTGAAGGAGACACATGTCTGTGTCACTTCCATTTGGCCCATTAGAAGCTCTTTGATTTCAAACCAATCTTCATTTCAAGGCTGAAAGCTTACAGCCCTCCCTTTTTAATTCCAATGTTAATACCTATGAAAGGCTTGCAGACAGTGGCGGCTAGAAGACCCTGTGTTGCTAGTGGAACACCTGTGCTTTGTAGGTTGCTGTAGGGCTCCAG